AAATATCCTATTATCAATTTTTAGCTATTTTAGGGAGTAACAACTCTAAAAATATTCCCAACAGACTCTCTAAAAAGTTTTTTAATTTAACAAATGCCACAGTAACTTTCCCTATACGTGGGGAGTCACTATTCATCCCCTAAATATATAATATTAATTTATCTCACCTTACTTTTTTTCTTTACTCTCTCTAATTTAATTGTCACATCAACTTTTTAAAAAATAAGATTAATTGAAAAAGAATAATAAAATAATGAAAAATACTATGGTGCATACCTTTTAAAAAATATATACCATATTCACCTTATAATTAAAAAGAAAAATAGCATAACTTCAATTTTTTTAGTCATAACTAAACACACAATGAGACACAACGAAAGAACTATCATGAGTCATAACTGAAATAATGTCATAACTACAAAAAAAAAATGAGATAACTAGTCGTGCATATTGTTGTACAAATTGTATGATAACATAAAACAAATAGATTCATTTTGAACAAACAAATAGAATTTCAGAACAAGAACATGCTTGAATTTACAGAAATTCATAATAAAATAAAACTAGCAAAAGGAAGAAAACCGAAGCCTACACTAGATAGTGTCCTTAAAATAGATTCGCCACCTCAACGGTTGGGTGCTAGAGGTTATTTGACTTCTATCTCCCAGGATACGATGGTTGAACCAGCCACGCAATGCACCGACTAAATAGCTTTGACGAACAGAACTTTGTAGCACTCTCTCACAGGAAGAAAATAATACAAACTGGAAAACTATTGAAGACTGGAATAACAACAATTTCTGGTGTAGAAAACTAAAGGAGAAGGCCTCATTTTATACATATGAAGGGAGAGAGGAAGAGGCTCCCCTGCAATAGATGCAGGAATTAATTCTGCAAAACTGATGGCTTTAATTCCATCATCAATAGAGGAGACTAGGTATTGTGTATATATTCCTGCAGCCCACACATCTGACTTGGCCCAAAAAGATTCAGATGGGTGGGCCAAGCCCAACCCCCACACTCAATCCATTCCAACAAGCCCAAGTCCCAAGATCCACGACCCATGGATCACAGACCACGGACCCGGACCCAGCCCGAGCACGCGTGCTCGCATGGTAATTTTTGCATAACTAACTTGGACCATAATCTTGGCCTAAGTCCATCCTTGAAGCATCCATAACTCCATTCCTTCAAATAATTTGGATGCCCCAAAGGGCTTACACCCTTATGCAAAAAAATGGAATTTAAATACCTATCAATGCTCTCCTCTACAATCAATGTGGGATAAAGGTTTTTACACCATTTTCAACACCTCTTTTATAAGACCAACTTAATGAGTCAATTTCTCATTCAAACCTTAATGGTTTTTTGTCATTCTTTTTATGGTGTAAAGATCTCACTACAAAGAATCTAAACCCACTTTACTTCACCTCAATTAAGGATTGACACCAACTTTAATTTTGCATTAAAGTTACCAAAAAACCATTCAGCTTGTTTGGTTATAGCTTTCAGAAAAAAGTTTTCAAAAAATTCTACTTTTTTATTTTGTGTATTTTAATATTTTTAATGAATTTTTTTAATATTTTAAGCAATTTGTTTTTAATTTTTAGTCACGCCTAACATAAATACACTTAAAAAGTATAACATTTATGAAAAAAATGAAAATTCAATACATTTTTCGTATTTATTAATTTTTTAAAATATTTTTCCTCAAATATTTTACTATTTAGATACATCAAAGTAAAATGCATCTAAAAAAGTAAAAAAATTACTTAAAATTTAAAAAATATTCACCAAAAACAAAAAAAAATTCAATTTTCAGAAAACTGAAACCAAACACACTGATTATTTTTCCAACAATCCCTCACATGAATAAAAATTGACCGAATAACAATAAACGAACAACGCTTAACAACAAAGACTCAGAGAGAGTGCAACGAAATAACCCCGGCATTGGAAAAGGTAGCTTTTGGCTTTGAACCCCTCCTAGTGAAGTCTATCGGATTTACTGGCTGTCGAGTGAATACGAACTGTTGAACTGTTCTGCCGTTTATGTAAACTAAGACAACAAACCTCACACAGGAGTTACTCCAACCATCGTTCTGTTTTCACTGTTGTGTCCGGTTTGATCCTGGAACACTAGCCTGGTTCAGCGAGTGATTTAAAGAATTATGCCCTGTCAATTATTATAGAAGCGGCCCCATTTCACACTCACATAGGTGACTCTACTTGAGTATCCTGCTATACTCAGCTCAACAACTTAACACACCAGAGTCACTAAAAGCTCAACTTAAACTCTACACTTGCAGATATCACTAATAAAAGGAATGGCTGGAGGTTTAACATCTTCAATGACATACCACTGTTACACGCAATTAGGTTGTCTCATTGAATCTAGATCTAGAGATCTCCAGTCAAGTAGGTTGCGTTTCCATTCCAGTAACACCTTTACACTAAAGGCCTTAACCCTATTCCTTATGATGACTTCTCTACTAATACTCGATTTAACCCTTTGGTTAGTGGATCCGCAATGTTGTCCTGAGACTTTACATAGTCTAAAGTGACAACTTCGTTCGAGAGTGGTTGTTGTATGGAATTATGTCTACGACGAACATGTCTAGACTTTCTATTATACATATTACTATGTGCCCGTCCAATCGCCGATTAGCTATCATAATGAATACAAATGGCTGACATAGGTCTCGACCAACGTGGAATATCCTCAATGAACTGGCGAAGCCATTCAGCTTCTTCAGTTACTTTACCCAAAGTAATAAACTTAGATTCCATCGTTGATCTCGATATACACGTTTGCTTGAAAGATTTTCAAGACACGACTGCCCCTTCGAGGGTAAACACATAACCACTAATGGATTTTGAGTCTTTTATATCAAATATCCAATTAGCATCACTATACCCTTCTAGTACCGCTGGGTAGGGCTGTGCAGCGGATCCACCGACTTGCCAAACCCACCTAGCCCGGCCCGACCTGACCAATAATAGGCGAATGCGTGACACAAAGCGGACAGGTGCGGGCTTAGTTTTTTGTGTTTTTCGGGTTCAGGTCGGGTGGCGGGTGATCCGCCATCTTACCCAGCAAACCCGACCTAACCATGCTCTTTTTTTTTATTTTTTTTTATTTTATATATTTCTTTTACGCCTCAGCCCATTTTCTTTCTGATATGCCTCAGTTTTACCCTAATTTATTCGACAAACAGACACACGACACAACACACACGACACTCTCTCTCTTCTCTCTCTCTCTCTCTCTAACCTACCCATCATTCAACGATCTACACTAAATGGCAATCGATCGATCTACACTGCACAGCCCTAATCTACACTAAACAGCGATCTATACTGAGGTATCTCTCTCTTTCTCTCTTCTTCTTTCCTCTTCTTCTCTTCTCTTGTTCTCTTATTCTTCCCATTTTCTAGGTTTTTTATTTTTTCACCTTTCCCCTTCTGTTTGGTTCCCAAGAAAAACTACTACAAATTTCTTGAGAAAATACATGTTCAGCAATTGGATCCGGTTGTTTAATTTTGTTTTATGATTTGTTAGTAGGTAAACGTATATGGGTTAGTTTTTTCTAGTAAAACACATCTGCTTGATCTTATGACTGTTCTTAAATTTGGGTTTTCTAGATTAGAACACAGACGATTCGAAGAGCTCACGAGAACATTGATAAGACCTTAAAAGCTACAGAGGTTATATTGTCTCAATTTGATCTTTCTCGCCAGGTTAGTTTTGTAGATTATTTAATTATTCATGCTTCTTTATTTAGGAGCTCTGTTTCTTTGTTGTTTTCTTTATTGTATTGATTTCAAAAGAAAAAAGTGTTGGCTGAAACTTGTTCTAGCTTATTGATGTTGAAATAGCTATATACTTGGAATTGATAATTTACTAGGCCTAGAAAGCTTAAGGATTATGTGTGTATGTATGTATGTACAGGTAAGCCATAATTTCCTTGGTGCAAGCTTACCACTCTGTTTTTAGACTTTTCTGGGAATTTATATGTTGCCTTTAATAGTCTATGACTTTCTACAATGTTAGAACATTTATTTTTATATTGTTTTTAGTATTCAAGGGCATCCTTTTGTTCTTTCCCCTTATTTCTTAGGTTGCAAAACTATGTTTAAGCTTGTAGCAATAGAGGAATAGCCTTGCTTGTAGCATTCCATTTTTTTTTCCCTTTCTCATTCTTTATTTTTTACTCACTGGATCTGGATCATGTACAAAGTCATAGCCAATCTGCATTAAGAAAGAAAAATAAAAATGGTAAATACATTAAATATGAAATCAATGTATTAAGAATGCTTCTTCATAGGATATTGAGAATGCTTCTAGTTTCTGTGGATTTGAAAAGCATATTTTGAATGATTTTTTATTGATTTTTGGCAGCATATTTGATAATCTTTTAGTCATGGATCCTCCAAGCGAAGAAACATTTTTTGTAAGTCCTAATGTTGAGCCCGAATCATCTTTTATTAACCTCTTTACCCAACCTAATGCTCCCCCTCCTAGTCCACCCCTGGCCAAAACTAGTAGTAGTGAGAGAACAACATCAAAGGCTTGGGATCATTTTGAAAATATTAAGGGTATTGATGGGAAAGATAGGGCTATGTGCAAGTATTGTAAGAAAGAATATATGACAGGGTCTAAGAGTCATGGAACAAGTAATTTGTTAAGTCATTTGAAAAATTGTACAAAGTATCCATATAGGGATACTCATGGTGTGACGACCCCGCCACGTATAATATTTTATATTTGGTTAATTAAGGAGATTTGGGATTTTAATTAGTCGTTATCTTAATTTAATATTTGGAGCCTTTCGGGAGTTTGATTAAAAATCTGATTCAGAATGGTAAAAATTAAATATAATTAATTGGGCCCTAATTGAAGTCAATTAGACTAATTAAATAATGTGAGATTGGTGATTGGTTATGATTAATTTAATTATGTGATAATCAAGATTTAATTAGATTAAGTGTTGCTTAATTAAATCAATCCTAATTATAAATTGAATTATGGAATGGTTTAGAACTGGGGGTGAATTTGGAGGTAGGTGTGCAGAGAAAGTTGTGTGTGTATGTGTATAAGTGTGAACATAAGGAGAGAGAGTAGGCAACTTTTCCTTTCTTTGAGCTGGGCAAAACCGTGAGAAAGAGAGCGAGAGAGAGAGAGAGAGAGAGAGAAAGCTTTGTGCTGGTGGGTTTTGAAGGAAATTCAAGAAGAGAAAATGGAAGATCATCAAGAAACTATCAAATTGAAGATTAAAGGTAAGGATTTCAATCTTGATTTTTGTAGAATTCATGTATTACACTTGAAATTAATGATGAGTTTGAGTTCAATTTCATATAATTTGGAAGAAATTAGAAAATAAAGATGAAGAGATTAAGTTAGGTTCATGGTTATGGAAATTAATTATTTTGGGTTTGATGTTGTGATCTTGCATGAAATTAAGCCTCATTGTTTTATGCATGAGTAAATTCTACAAGTTTAATACTCTAATTATACATGCATCATGGATTTTGAAGAATTTGAACTAATTCAATCTCATATTTTGAAGAGAAAAAAAGAAAAGTTTTGAAAATTAGGAATTTGTTTGATTTGATCTTTAATCCATGCATGTAACTTAATTTAAAAGTTTTATTCAATTTAAACACATTGGAACATATATGATCATAAATTAAGTTTTGGTTATAGATTGAGTTAAGTTGAAATTCTAAGAAATTGATTTTGTAATTCATTAGTTAAGTTTGAATTTTGTTATTAATAAAAAAATTGGGTTCTATTTTTACATACATCATGAAATTTTCAAGAGTTTGGAAAATTTAATTCATATTTTAAAATTTGTGTGTTTAATATAAAGAAAATGAATTAAATCTAAATTTGGACAAATTTAGGAATGAATTACAATTTATACTTGAGAATCAAAAATTAGTTTGACTTTGATTTGAATTTCATATATGGAAATATTTCTTTTAAAGAGCTTTATAACTCTAATTTTGTGTTTTATAACACAAAAGAAGAAAAATATTGAAATTATTATACTTATGAAATTATTATGATCAAAGATATTTTTGTATTAGAAATTGAAAAATTAGTCAAGGGTTCATCTTTATTAATAAAATTACATGTTTAAATTGGTTCATGCAAGAGTCAAAGTTTTGAAAATGTGTTTGGAAATTATTTTTGTTAGTTTTCAAAAACACAGAAAATGTGCAAACCGCTCGAGCGAAAAAGTCACCACTCGAGCGAACTTTGAAGCCATCAAGTATTTTTACAAAGCTTTGCAGACCGCTCGAGCGACCAAAAGTGCGTTCGAGCGAAAACCCTATTTTCAACAATTTTTGACTGACTCTTCTAAGTGCCTATTTGCATCCTCATGACATTCTAAGTATTTTTAGGCACCAATTGGACTCATATAGTTATGGAATAAGGTAGAAACACATAAAGAGAGTTGAATTAAAATGAAATGAATATTGAATGGTGCTTTTATTGTCTCTTTGTCATGTGATTTGTATAGGTGGACGTCTGAGGCCTTATATCAACTTAACCCACTGTGAGTAATAACTTTATAAAGATATGTTCAAGTTACGTTTACTTTCGAAAATGTTATTGTTATCAACATCAATACATGATTGATTGAATGGTTTATTGAAGTACTATTTGTTACTAATGAATGAAGTTCATTTTTTTTGTAAACAAGCCCTTGCCTGGGGAAAATTAATACCGCGGCCCATTGGGTAATTGGAATTGTAATGAAAATGCTATCGAACAATGGTTTTTGTCATTGCAAAGGATTGATATGATGGCTAATCAAATTGTTTTGCCTACTGAAATGGATTGATTCGAAAATTGAAATATATGATTTGATATAGAAAATGGTTTGTTATAAAGTTTGATATAATATGGCAAATGCCTTACTTTAAAAATGATTTAAGATTCGTTTTGAAATCATGAGACAGGTTTTTGTATTATCATTGAACTTCATTCATTTAACCTCTTTATTCTGTTATTCCTCGTTGGGCTTTAGCCCACTATTTGTATGTATATGTAGGTGAGCAAATTGAGCAACAAAGATAGAGAAAGTCTCGAAGTCTACCTGTGTTAGCCTTTAGAAGAGCTTCCGAAATGGATCAAGTTAAGCTCAAATAGAGCCAAAAAAATCAACCCTTAGCTTTGTTAGAGCTTTGTATTTTGCTAAGTCTTAAATGTATATGTGTGTGAGATATATAAGATTTGTATATAAATTATTATTGTGTTTAAATGTTTTAATTATTTTAGTCATCATGTATGCACAAGCTCAATGGACATTGTTATTTTTGTTTTGCTTTCGCTTTAGGCCCTGATATGATTTAAATATTTTGAAATTTTGTCTTTGAAGCTGAAGGTAATTTAGAATTACTGGTCGGTTACGACACTAAACCTATAGGGGCGGCTTTGGGTCGTAACACATGGGCAACAAGCATTGGGATTTCAACCTAGAGAAGTTGGTGGGGAGGGTGTTGTTGATGTTGTGGCTACGTCATTTTCTATAGAAGTTGCTAGGAGGTATCTTGCCGAGATGATAGTAATTGATGAATTGCCCTTTAGATTTGTGGACGGGGTTGGTTTTAAGAGGTTTTGTAATGTCATGCAACCCAAATTCAAGATCCCATCTCGATATACCGTTGCTAGGGACATTGTAGACATATACACCAATGAAAGGGAGAAGTTAAAGAAAATTGTGAAGGGGCGTAGAATTTGGTTTACCGCTGACACATGAACTTTCATACAAAATTTGTGTTATATGTGTCTAATTGCACATTTAATTGATGATGATTGGAATTTACAAAAGAGGGTCATAAATTTTTATCAAGTTGAAGACTACAAATGAGAAACTCTTGGCAAAAAAATTGAGACACTCTTAAAAGAGTGGGACATTGATGGCCTTTTTACTTTAACTGTTGACAATGCGAGCTCCAATAATCAAACCATTAGATTCTTGAAAGAACCACAAAATTGTGGAAGGGAACAGTCTTGGGCCATGAATTTTTACATATGCGTTATTGTGCACATATTTTAAATCTCATTGTTGGTGATGGATTAAAGGACCTTGAGTCTTATATAACAAATGTGAGGCATGCAATGAAGTATGTGAGGTCTTCTCCAAACCGCCTTGACACTTTTAAAAAGTATGTGGAAAGTTTGAAAATTGAGAGTAAGAGTCTCCTGTGCCTAGATGTACCAACATGGTGGAATTCCAACATATGTTATGTTGGAGACGGCAGGAAAATTTGAGAGTGCTTTTCAAAGAATGGGTGAGGAGGACTACAATTATAAATACTACTTTTTGGATAATGAATGGGGTGAGAGGAGAGAGATGCTTACAGCCGAAGATTGGGATAATTGTAGGGTGTTTTTGAAATTTCTTAGAATGTTCTACAATACAACAAAGAGATTTTCTGGATCTTTATTTGTTACTTCAAATACATTCTACATTGAAATGTTTGTCATTGAAAATATGATTGGACAATTAATCAAAGACAATGATCCTATTTTGGCTTCAATAGCAAAGAAAATGAAAAAGAAGTTTGACAAGTATTGCGAAAATGGGGATAAAATCAATCTCCTTTTGTATGTTGTGGTTGTGCTTGATCCTCGAAGAAAAATGACATACTTGCAATTTTGTTGTTCAACAATTTTTGGTGGAGATGTGGTAAAAGTGAAAGAAATTTTAGACAATGTGAAAAATTGTTTGAGTCAATTATATGAACATTATGCCACGTTTGATTCCACAAATGTGCATGCCTCCAATGTAAATGAAACAGTAGATATGGTGATAGATGAAAATGACCCATACTCTATTGTGAACTCTCAATTTAACTCATTTTTTGAGGAGCAATTTTGTAGTAGTGGGAGTATGTCGGAATTGGACAAGTACTAGGGTGATATTGAGAAAGGTGGGAAGAATGGTCAATTTGACATCTTGGAGTGGTGGAAGGTTAATACAACAAAGTATAGAGTGGTATCACCTATAGCACAAGATGTGTTGGTAATTCCTATTTCCACTGTTGTTTCTGAGTCGGCTTTTAGTACAAGAGGTCGTATACTTGACCCATTTCGTAGTTCACTTGCTCCAAAGATGTAGCGATCCCGGTTTTGACCCGTCTCTGTATGGTGTTCCGGGTTCCGATTGGTATGGTTTTGAACAGTGTTACGTATCTTAGTTTCCCTGTATTCCCCTTATTTTGGTTATCGGGTTGTAGCAGTGTGTTTGGAACAAGTAATGTCTCCAAACCTTTAGATGCGAATCCAACCCGAATTGTGCCTTGTAGAACATAAGTTAATTCTTTCATGTTTATGTTTTGCCACTTTGCTGAGTAGGTCAGGGATCGAGCTACCCGGTCAGCTCGTGGGGATCCAAGGGGCAGTGCCCAAGCAGGGACGAGGGGCAGTGCCCTCAAAGCAAAAATGCAAAATGCATTCGAAGTTGCTTGTCAGCTCGAACGGCCGTTTATGTGATCGAGTGGAGAATGTTTGGTTCCAGAAGTTTGACTTGTCTGCAAAAATACTGGAAAAGTGTATTCGAAGCTCGAACGGAGCTTTTCGCGCTCAAGCGGGAGGCTGTGTCTGACGTTCGAGCGGGGCTTTTCACGCTCGAGCGGACCATGTTATATCAATTCATGAATCTAATATTTCATATCACTTTTTCAGTTCTCTCTGTCTCTCTCTAAAACTCTCAAGAATTTCAGATCTAGAGCTTCTCTCTCTAGAAGTCATCTTCTCTCTTTGATTTCTTCAAATCCATTGAGATTTAGACCTAAGTTCTTCATCAAAGTTGGTTAATATCTCAAGAGCTTTGTTGTGTGCGGTGGAGATCGAGTTTAGGCATCGCTGATTTTGGGGTTGCATCTCAATTCTTCTTCAATACTTGAGGTAGGGATTTTCTTAGAGTTATATATATATTTTTGCGAGATCTAGATGATTTTCGAAATCATCCTTCGATAGTTTTGAAAATTGATTGTTGATTCAAGAAGTTGAGCGATTTTGAAAGTGGGTTTGTCTCTTGTTCTTTTAAAATGATCTTATGGGTTTTGATCTTCGTTGATTGAAGAAAAGATGATTTTGAAAAGTTTTCTTTCAAAAGATTTGAGTTGTATAGTTTTGGTGAAAAAACCTAGAAATTGGGAATTTTTAAAAGAAATTGAAAATCCATTAATGATATTGTTATATTTATTTTTTGTGTCAAAATAAATGGATGTTTGGAAAAATTCTTATTTATGTTTATATAAATGAAGAATTTCATGGAATATGATAATTGTTGTTCATTTTGGAAATTATTGTTCAAAACGTTGAAATAGTTTTGAAATGACTAATTATTGAGGATACTTGAGGAGAGGGAATTGTGTTATTCCTTGGATGATGAATCAGAATAAAAGTATTTATATTCATCTTGTGAAATTGGCATATCAATTCATTTGATTACATTAAACTTTGAAAGTTGATTTGAAAACTTGCATTGAGAAAATAACGTTAAGAAACAAGTTTTTATGGAATGGTTTTGGGGTAAATACGTTGGTAAGTCTTGATAGGTGGTGTAGATGATATTGAATAAGTTGGGCTTGAGAGTCCGAGGTGAAAGACCGAAAACCCGCACGGATAGGTGTCGAGCCTTCCAGTTAATACCGGTAAAAATGACAATTTGGTAGTACTTGTATAGTCTACTTGCAGACATCGACCTAGGGATTACCAGAGTTGTATTTACCACCCTTGAAATAAATTGTTAAGTTTTGAACAATTGAAATTGCATGACATCATTGAGCATGATGATTTTCAAAAGATGAAAATGTGATTTACTTTCAAAAAGGGGCATAGCATGACACGTATATTTCATCTCTTGAGACTTGTATAAAATGTATATACTTTGTTAAGGATTTCCTACTAGGATTTATGCTCACCCTACGGGATTTTTGCGCAGGAAAAGATGTGGTGATCTTGCCTAACCAAAGGCGAGGAAATATGTATTGAGAGTACAAGACTCTCATTTTGCTGTAACTCTGTTTGTAAGCCAAGAGCTATATTTGTGTGGGTTTGAATAACATTTTGTGTAATCAGGCCTAAGCCTTGGAAACTTGTAAACCCTTGGGGGTATCTATTTGTTTATGTTATTTTGATTTGAAGTGAATGTATTATCGCCTGAAGACTATTTGTATCATGTAATGCAAGTGTGGGGATTTATTTTCAGTTTTACTTTAAAGAACCATGGTTATCATATTATCATTTGGGTATAAAAATTGGGGCATTACGAAAGATGGTGGAAGTTCTTATTTGTACACAAAATTGGCTCCGAAGTAACATTTGAATATGCCTTCGACAAGCAATGGATTATGTTAAAGAATTTGAACAACAATATGATTCGGGTAATACATACAATAATTTATTTTGTTTTAAATTTCATTTATTTTGTATTATTCAAAATTCATTATTTTTACTTCACATGTTTTTCTTGTGTTATGTTTTATGTGTAGTTGTTTCGGAATCAAGTTCTTGTTCAAGCCCAAGTCCATAACCTAGTTTTACTAAAGTTTAATATCATTGGTAAAATACCTCCCCTTTGTTAAATGTTGTTAATATATGTTTACTTTATTTAAATTTAAGGCTTTTTAGTGTTTTCCTTATTAAATAATTTCATTTTTTTGTTACGTAAATTTAGATGACTCATGATTTGACTCAAGGAAATTAATGACTTTTTTGCTTCTTTTTGGATGACTGTAATATTATTGTTTGGATGCACAATGTTTGTTTGTTGGATGCACAATATTTTGGATGATTGTAACTTCTTTTTTTTTTTTTTTTGAATTTCTCTCAAACACTCTCCAGTGACTGTGATTGTAACTTTTTTTTTTTTTTTTTTTTTTTGTAACTTTGGATGATTTTCAACTTCAACTTTAGATAACTGTAATGAATTATGTTTTTGCATTGCCCACTAGAACTTTGAACTTCGGATGCCTAGCTTGTTCTTGCATTGCCCACTAGAATCAATAAAAATGAATTATGTTAAAAATGTTATTTTTTAAGAAGTTGCCTAGGTTGTTGTGAATTGCCCAAGTTATTGTGAATATTACCCAGGTTGTTGTGAATGAATATTGTATTGCCTAAGTTATTTTTTTAGGAAGTGCACAATTGAATTATGTTGAAAATGTTATTTTTTTGAGGAAGTGTACACTTGAATTAAGTTGAAAATTCATATAATTTTCAATCGCCAAACCGATTAGTATCCATTCGCCAATCCACTCAATCCGTATCCGCCGGATTGGCGGACGGATGCGGATTGATTTACTCTAATCCACCAATTTGGCGGACGGATGGTGAATTGGGGGTTTCGTGGCCGCAACCGATTCGCGTCCACCCCTACCGTTGGGTATCTGGTATAATACAGCCCATAACCCTGGGTGTAGCGTAAATAACCTAACACCCGCATAATGCCCCTCCAATGAGTAGCATTTAGATTACTCGTGTATCTACTAAGCCTGCTAACAGAGTAGGCTATATCCGGCCTTATACAACTCATCAGATACATCAAACTTCCAATGACTTGAGAATATTCTAGCTGAGAAACACTCTCACCATTATTCTTAGTCAAATGTAGACTCACGTTTACCGATGTCTTAGACACACTTGTGTCTGATTTGCCAAATTTCTCAAGTATCTTCTCAACATAGTGAGATTGAGAAAGTACAGTACCATCAGATATTCTAGTAATCTTAACACCCAGAATTACATCTGCAAGGCCCATATCTTTCATGTCAAACTTAAAGTTTAACAAGCTCTTGGTAGTTCGAATCATTTCATCATTACTACCAACAATGAGTATATCATCTACGTATAGACACAAAATGACATAACCTTTGTCCATGTCTTTAACATACACGCATTTGTCACACTCATTGATTTTGAACCCATTTGACAATATAGCGTTGTCAAAATTCTCAAGCCATTGCTTGGGAGCTTGTTTCAAACCATACAATAATTTAACAGGCTTACAGACTTTCTTATTGTGTCCTAGAGCTGAGAACCCCTCGGGTTGCTCCATGTAGATTTCTTCATCTAAATCTCTATTTAAGAAAGCTGTCTTTACATCCATTTGATGTATTTCCAGACCACGTAAAGCTGCTATCACAATCACCATACGAATGAATGTAATCCTTATCACAGGTGAATACGTATCAAAATAATCCAAGCCTTCCTGCTGCCTGTATCCTTTGATAACTAGTCTAGCTTTATACTTATTGACATGGGTAAGCCCATAAAAATTATAGCTCACCATTTAGGGCCCAATACATAACTCAAATGCTAAAACCCAGCACTGCTGGAGCCCCATGTAGCAATAAAAACCAATGACATCAAGACACAGGGCAAGAGGGGGGCAAACCACATCAGCAGACAAAGATCTGTAAATTTATTATCACGGCACATTGCCATTAATGAGGCCCCTTACAGCATTTATTGCGATAATCCCTCTCTGTCGGGACAGAACGCCTTCACCCTGAATAAGGTAAGCTAGAGCATAGACTTTTGGCCAAGGTGATAGGTCGGAAGGGACAACGTAATGATTACCAAAGGATATAAGCAGACGTCGAAGACAAGAAGAAGGTTAAGTTTTTCTATCTCTAATCTATCTACACATTCCACTTCTCTCTCTCTAACTTGCTCGTCGGAGGGTTCGCTGGCGGACTCCCTGTTCCCCGTTGAACTCTTGTGCAGGTCTTCTGGTGGGCTTAGTCATTCGGACATAGAACCGAGGAGTGTGGATCAGTTCGACCCGTTCCACCTGGAACGAACTGTATCATCACTTATCAATTGACCCATCAACTTTTATTTTTCTTTTAAAGATCCACTTACTCCCCAAGGCCTTACTGCCTGAGGATAGATCAAACAACTCCCAAGTATGGTTTGCAAGATGGAGTCAATCTCACTTTTGATTGCTTCTTTCCACAAAGAACTTTCAGGTGAAGTCACAGCTCATGGAAAGTTTGAGGTTCTCCATAACATATAAGTCAAGAAATCCGGACCAAAAGACTTTGCAGTCCTAGCCCTCTTACTCCTTCTTGGCTCATTTACATTTTCAACTTGATTATCTAAGTGATCATCTATTTGATCAGCTATGTGATCATTGTCACCTTCAATCTCTTCCATGGAACTCTAAATCCCTTCTTGGAGATGACAAGGAAATATATTTTCAAAGAAAGACACATTTCTTGATTCCATGATAGTATTCTTGTGTATATCTGGAATAACAGACCTATACACAAGAAATCGATATGCACTGCTATTATGTACATATCCAATGAATACATAATCCACTAACTTCACCCCCACATTCGTAAGAATTTATAAGAAGGCTTGATGCCTTTCCATAACTCATACAAGGTCTTGTCCACCTTTTTTCGAGGACTTTATTCAGATTGTAATTCGGGAGAGAATTGCTTCCCCCCACATGTTTTGTGGCAATTCAGAACTTATCAACATTGCGTTCATCATCTCCTTTAGTGTCCTATTCTTCTGCTCAGCAATCCCATTTGACTAAGGAGAATAAGGCGCCGTGGTTAGGTGGATAATCCCGGATTGAGCACAAATCTCAATAAACGGTGATTCATACTCGCCACCACAATCACTTCTTAAAGCCTTACTCTTGCGGCCTAATTGATTCTCTACTTCATTCTTATATAGAACAAACTTGTCAATAGCCTCATATTTGTTTTTGAGCAAATACACATAACAATACTTAGTGCAATCATCAACAAAAGTGATAGAGTACTTATTGCCACCACGTGATTATATAAACTTTAAGTCACACACATCACTAGGCACTAAGTCCAATGGCTTTGAACTTCTTTCAATAGAATGAAACGAAGATCTTGTCAACTTCGCTTCAACACAAGTTTCACACTTATGTTTCGAATTACTCTTAAAAGATGTTTAAGAATGACCTTGTCAGACTCAAAGACCATGCAAAAATCATGTTTGCTGAGAAGAAACCCTGAGACAAGATTCTTATGAATGTCCAGAATATACAAGACTTCATTCAAGGTCAACTCCTTTCCTGAGGTCAACTTCAGGACCACATTTCCTTTCCTCTCAACAATTGAGGTAACAGAATTCCCCATAAACAACTTCTAACCGTTTGTCACCAGCTCAAAAGTTGTAAACAGTTTCTTCTTGGAACATATGTGGCATGTAGCCCCAGTATCAATCCACCATTCTCTTAGGTTTGAACCCACTAGATTCACCTCAGAAACAATGGCAGACAAGTGCATGCCATCATCATCATAGGAGTGCTCTTGCATATCTACCATGTGAGCCCGAGGTTTGGTCTTGTATGGTTTCTTCTGCTTGTGGCAGTCACTAGCCTGATGCCCCTCACTACCACAATTGTAGTATTTCCCTAAGAACCGATAACCAGATTCTTGTGACTTGTATGCCGACTTCTTTGCAACACCACCCCTTGGCCCCAGCTTTGAGCTCTTGTTCACAGGAGGCTTTTTCCTCACCCCTAGAAGATTTTCCATGCTCAATGACATTGGCCTTCACAAAAGAGGTACTCTCACCTTTCTTTCTATTATCCTCCTCAATTGGGAGTCGGACAATCAGGTTTTCAACTGACATTTCCTTACACTTGTGCTTCAGGTAATTCTTGAAGTCCTTCCAACCATTGGGAAGTTTCTCAATGATCACCGCAATTTGGAATGACTCATTCAAAGGCATCCCCTTAACATGAATTTCATGCAAGATCACTTGGAACTCCTAGACTTGGCTTATTACAGTTTTTGAATCTACCATTTTAAAGTCCAGGAACCGGCCAACGATAAATTTCTTTACCCCGGCGTCCTCAGTTATGTATTTCTTGTCCAAAGATTCCCATAACTTCTTTGCTGAACTCTTGGCACAAAACACACTGTATAGTGAGTCTGCCAAGTTATTGAACACATAGTTTCGGCAAAGATAGTATGTCTGCTTCCATGTGTCAAGTGCCATGACTTTTTGCCTGTCTGGCTCATTCTCTATTACGGCTGGAGGATTCTCCCTCAGAACCTTTGCAAGGTTCATCGTAGTCAAGTAGAACAACATCTTTTGCTGCCATCTCTTGAAGTTCACCTCAGCAAATTTCTCTGGGCGCTTATGGTGACTGAGTGGTCCTCCCGAAACAGCCGGAATACGACCAGGGTTGACCATAGAGGTCAGAGTTGGGGTTGGCAAGTCAGTTGCCTTGGGGTTTAGATCCCCACCAACATTAGCAGTAGCAGTATCATTGGTGAAAGTTGCCATTTCTAAAAAATATAACAAAATATCACTTTCTGTGTTTCCAGAAATTAAACTTAACCCTTAGAAAATCCCA